AAAGAGATAATTTAATTAATTAATTTTAACATAAATGTAATATTCACACTTCACAAATAAACAATTAAATAAATTTGTTTTTATTAAATTATTCATTGTCGACAATATTTACATCGTTCAAATGTGTGTTCCTAAAAAGTTTGAGTAGTTTGAGATCATCAACTATAGTCTTCTCTCTACATGAGTCCAATCTCGTAAACACATTATCACTTCAATCATCTCATTGGTTAAAGAGCATCTTCTGTCTTCAACAATCTAGCCACTGATTGAGAATGCTGACTTGGCTGAAATTGTAGAAACCGGTATAGATAAAATGTCACGTGCCATTTGGGCTACAATGGGGAATCGACTTTGATATTGTTTCCACCATTGAAGTACATCCATCTCACATTTCTCCTTCTTCGTCATGTAGAACATGTCCATTTGTAGGTAGCAATTCAGCTCATTTGATCCATGTATGTACGAGCTGGAGCTGCTACTTCCGCCATGTTCCATATACGTCCACATGCTCGATTCTTGATAAATGTCTTCATCAGGGTCGTCTTTGCTGGACGTTTTAGTTCCAATTCCATTGTACCTGCTCTAATATAAAGAAAAAATACTTTCCATTTTTTGCTTAAAGTTAATCAAATAATACGTATAATCATGTCCTAAATGCTGGCTTATCTCAGTAACTATACAATTAACTATGTGTAATTTAAATCTAGGATCTACAACTAGGCCTAATCCATATAAGAATGGAATATCTAACCAATATTTCTCGTAATTTTTTTTCCATCTTTGAAACAATTTCCATTACGATGTCATTATATCTATATTTAGCAAAAGTTTTAGAAATCTGAAATAAAATATCTAACGCTAAATTAGTAGTAGGATAATAAATACCACTTAATAAATTAGTGGATTCATAAAAAAAAACTTTAAGAAATGAATAAAAAAGTTCGCAAACCGCCCAATCATCATAGCTAACAACTTCCTACGGATGGTTCTTCTGGTTGATGAAATTTGTAATTTGTCTTGCGGTTGGCAAAGCTTTTTCCAACATCAAGTAGGTTGAGTTCCAACGGATAGGTATGTCCGTACATAACTTCAAAAGTCAAGTCAGTAGGTCCTCTTGCTTACAATATTTGATGTACTCTTGCCATCTTTTGTTGATACCGTCGATGATGAATCTGATAACCGCGCGCACCCTCTCAGTCTTCAAATTTATAGCTTTTAAACCTACTTTAACAATCAAATTGATGATGTGGCAAATACATCTTTGGTGAAAAAAATTGCCTCCACCATGCGGATCCAATCTCTTTTCAAATAAAGAGATAGTCACGGTATTAGCAGCTGCATTATCTAGCGTTAGCGCTACAGCTCTATCAGTTAATACATATTCTTGCAAAACTTTAAGTATTGTAAAATAAATAGTGTCAGCATTATGTGCAGTATATAATGGTCAAAAACCTATCAACTTTTGTTGTAAATGTAAGAATTCATGCTTAGAAAGGGTAAAATTGGTGTAAAACATTGGTATAAGGTCATATGACATGTTATTGAAACTAAAAGGGTGTAATTGTTACCTTTTATGCTTTACAACTTTTGTAACTTGAAAAGGAGTTCAAGATCTTCAACAAATTTGATGAAAACCCTCAAAGTAAAGTCCACCCCAAGATGAAGAAGATAGAGTCGGCCATGAGAGCTCAAGAGAGATTTTCAATCAAAATGAAAATTAGATTAAATTTGGGAATATCTNATATTAGAATAGAGGACAAATGTGGAATTAGCTATTATGAAACGATGTAGTTTAGTGTTCATGCAATTTGTGTGTGCTTAAATACTTATCACGTGTACTGAAAAGTTAGTTAGAAAAAGTTTATCAAAAAGTTCAGTTTTACGTCTTCTCTGTTTTCTCTCTGCATTTCTTGTTTTCTGGTTCTTGATTTTGATTCAAGAGATTTCTCTTTCAGTCTTTCATTAGAAATTTCCCGCGGAGAAAGGAGTTAGAGCAAGGGTTCATTTCAGATTTACCTTGTACAGTAAAGTTGCATGAGTCGGGAGTGAAATTTAAGGGTATTACAGGAACACCGTTACTCGACATAAGATTTGGGAAGCAAAAGCGGCTGATTTCATACTTTGAAGTTCATGAATTGCAAACATCTCATTTGGTAGTGGCTGATTATGGGACAGAATGTTTGCTTCGAAACATAATGGCTTTGGAGTAGTGTCATTACCCATTGGATACTCGTGTTTTCAATTACGTGAGGATGTTAGATTATCTTATTAATAGTGAGAAAGACGTGGATTTGCTTGTTGGGAAGAGAATAATTAGAAATTGTATGGGGGATAATATTTCTGTAGTGAATTTGTTCAACAAACTTAGCTTACAAATTCATAGAAGTAGGTCATGTTATTATAAAACCAGTATTGAATTGAAAGCACACTATAACAATCCTTGGAATCATTCCAAAGCAACGTTAAAAAGTGTGTACTTCAAGAACCTTTGGAGAGGCACCGCCACTGTTACAGGAGCTGGAATTTCGTTGCATGCTCTCATGCAAGCCATATCTTCTATGAAGAAAATTATGTAATCATTTTGAATTAATAGTTGTAGTAGACCGACTATCCACCTGTAGGAGTAATATTGCAGTTTGGAAGCTTGTTGTTCAATGTAATATCTTTCATCATTTCTGAATTCTTAATACAATAAGAATGCTTATTATCTCCAGGTGTATAATTTTAATAAAGTCTGGCAACAACAAACATCAAGTGCCTGATAATCTTTCTGCAATTCATCATTTGGGTTTGAAGCAACAAGCTATGGTTGTGTTACAATAATTAATTATGATTGTAATTATAGTACCCTTATGAAATCTCACCTTTAATTTTCCTTTGAGGTTCATTTTAATACCTCGTAGCTGTCCAATACTCCATTAACTTCTTCTTCACCTGTTTCATAAGGATCAGAATGCCCTCACCCTTTGAAGCTAGATCACAAACCAAACAGCTGGCCGAGATCTGGCGGCAGGGCCAATGCAGCCGGCCACTTGTGGCCATCGACAACCAAGCAAACTTCTTTTAATTGAGAAAAGAGGAGTGACAGGTATGCTGTGATGAGATCGAAGGAAGGGCAGTAAAAGTATCTTTTAATTATGATTTTTGTACAAGATGTCAAAGTACTTGGGATTATCCGTCAAAAATTTGGGTTGAGTAATCGATCGCATTGTGTTGGGTTAATTTTATTACGGTAAACCCAATGTGCGAAGTTGTTAATCCCCTATAAATACTACATTGGTGACACAAATAGGCCGTAAGTAACACATTCCTGTGAGTTGTGACAATATTAATCCAGGGGGAGGAACTCGGTAAACTGCTGCTTTCAACCACACAATATTTTCTTAATTCCGACCGAAGTATTCAGGTTCAAATTAATTAATGCACTTTTTTCATTACTTATTCATGTTCTTGATTTATTTTTATGAATGCGGCCCAGCAAAAATCCATGATTAATAAGATGGCTTTAATAAATAAATAAAATATAGCATCTTTTATCTTAACTCAGTGAAAATATTATAATGTACATGGTATATTATAGGGGTGTTCAAAAGAACCGGTTGAAACCGGAACCGGTGGGTACTCTGGGTTTGGTTCTGGTTCCTACCCAGAACCAGTCGTCAATGGGTAGGTTCCGGTTCCAAATTTTTGGAACCGTTACTGTGCGATTCCGGTTCCGATTCCTATAGTTAGGAATCGGAACCGAAACCAAAACCAGGAACCAGAAACCAAGACTAATATAAAATAAAATTAAAGATTAGGAGGGTTAATAAAAAATTTTGTAGAAAAAGTAATGTGAATACATTTATATTTATATTTCATAACATTTAAAGTAAATTGGTTTGACTTTTGAGAATCTACCTTTACAAAGTAATGGAGTTTGTAATTTTGAATACATTTATATTTATATTTCATAACATTTAAAGTAAATTGGTTTGACTTTTGAGAATCTACCTTTACAAAGTAATGGAGTTTGTAATTTTGAATTTATAATTTGTAATTTTATTTTTGTTAACAAGTGTCAGGTGGGGGCGTATTTGTAAGTTTTTAAGGGCTTTTTTACCATTTTAAAAACTTTTGGGGGGTCATGAATTTTACAGGGTACCCAGAACCAGAATCGGAACCGTTGTTATAGGTTCTAGTTCTGGGTACCTAGTAACTGGAATCGTCGGTTCCGGTTCTGGTTCCAAATTTCAAGGAACCGTCGGCTCCAGTTCCGGTTCCGGTTCCTTCAAAAAGTGTAGGGTACCCAGAACCGAACACCCCTAGTATATTATATTATACTGTAGAATATGTTAGGAACCCCATTTTGGGATGATTGGAGAAATATCAAAAAATGGTACATTAAGTAGAATTAGGCAATTAGGATATCTTTTAAAATACGAATTATAATTATTCTATTATGCAATTAAAATACGAATTAGAGTCATTTGGAGTCAAGTGTGATGCTATATAATAGTCTAAATCTATATGATGGTTATCAATGAAGAATTTTACCAATTAATCTCTCTGTCCCTTATTCTTGGAGGTCTCTATTCCTCATATAAATAGATCATATCCCAAAATCTATCAAAATAGTAGACTGTATTATTCTTTTTCATTGTATGTGATATATAATTAAGTATAGGGAATGCAAAAATTATGACAAAAATTCTGAATTTTTAGATCAAACAAAGCACTTTAGAAATAAATATGACAGATACAGTTCATAAAATTCAAGATAGATCATGTAACATATCCATCCGTGTATATTTGATATATTTTCTGTGAAAAAGATTATAGATTCGATGTGCAACCTCGTTCATGTTTTAATCATGTATATATATGTATATTATTTTTCCTTTCACGATTTTTCTTCACAATGAATATGAATATAGTCAGCCCAAAATTCGTCACTTGAGTTGTTGATTATTAATTGTTAGTAATTATTGTTTGTTTGTCATTAATTTAGATCAATCAGCATGGAGATGAATGCTTCCATTGCAAATAAGGATCTGGCCGAAAAGGTTGTAATTGATATTGAGAAAAACTTGGAGTCTCAGCCTGATGTTCATCAAGCTTGTATTTACCGGGTTCCTCAAAAGATTCGTTCACCAAATGCGGAAGCTTTCACTCCTACACTGATTTCAATTGGTCCTCTTCACAATGGAAAAGCAGAATTAGCTAATATGGAAAAGAAAAAAAAAATGTACGTCAAAAGTTTTCTTGAACGGAAAACAATCGATAAAGCACTGGATGAAATTTTGATATTCATCAAGAAAAACGAAGAAAATATTCGTAATTCTTATGCAGAGATATCCAGGCTTGAGAGTCTTGATTATATAATGATGGTTCTTTATGATGCTATCTTCATTCTAGAGATTTTCTTAAGAGACAAATTCCGTGACAGAAGTGATTTATTGATAACAATTGATGCATTAAAAGATACTTTACGCTTAGACCTGCAATTACTAGAAAATCAACTTCCATACTTCGTCCTTGAGGGAATATATGAGTTAACTTTGGTTGGCCTTTACGTGCCTACCTTCATGGAGCTTTCTTGTTCATTCTTCACAAATTCTGATCACGACTTGAATCCCTTAGCCCCCGTAGAGATAGTTAAACATTTCATTGATTGGAGAAGAAGTACCCTGATAAAAAACCATCCGAAAGAGGAGTCGGAGGGATGGATCAATGATTTACCTTGTGCAATGAAATTGCATGAGTCAGGAGTGAAGTTTAAGAGTGTTGAAAGAGAATGCTTACTTGACATAAAATTGGAAAAGCAAAAGCAAGATATCCTATGGTTGAACGAGTTGCAAATACCACATTTCAATGTAAACCTTGAGACTGAACATCTACTTAGGAATATTTTAGCCTTTGAGCAATGCCATTACCCATCGGATATTCGCGTTTGCAATTATATATTTTTCTTGAATCGCCTTATTTATACTGAAAAAGACGTGGATTTGCTTGTGAGAAAGGGAATCATTTCCAATACTATGGGCGACAGTGCTTCGGTTGCAAATATGTTTACCGATGTTTGCAAATATATGCATGAAAAGAAGTCATCTCATTACCCCAAAATTTGCGAGGAACTGAAAGAACATTATAACAATCGTTGGAACAGAACAAAGATAGCTTTGAGAAGAGCATATTTCAACAATATCTGGAGAGGCACAACAACTGCAGCATTTATACTCTTTTTGCTCATTCTCATACAAACCTGCATTTTAGTCGTCTTTTTCTAGTGTATTTTCAATTATTCATTTGAAGCTTTGAAATTCTAATAATATTTGTTTTCTATATATTTCTCATGAGGTGTAATTACTTGAAAACCTCTGAAGGTTTTGGGAATTAGACTAAACACCTGTATGTTGGTTTAAAAAATTGGACCTTAACTCCCTTCGACCAAAATCTGTTAGCAAATATCCGTTAAAGTGTGAATTGACCATTTTACCCACCACAAAATCCAATTTTACAAACTGTCATACTCAATATAAATGTATTAAAATAATCAAATTAAAATTATTTTATAAAAAAAATATATATTTTTTTATGACCGGGAATGTCCAGACCAGCTTACGTGCATCTCAACTAATCCTTCAGGACTCTGAAACTACTGGTCGAGTAAGAACTCTAGTAACTACTCATATTGGCAATCGAGGAAGGGCTATACAAATTATTCAATAACAAATACTCATGATAGTCGGGATGGCATAGGCCATTGCAAATCGCTAACGTTAGAGTGCGTTTAACAACATTGTGTATACATAAATGATTAAGAGAGAGACATTTAGAGAGAAGAAGTTTTTATTTCTAATTGATCTGCTTTGTACAAGAAGGGGAGCTCTCTTTTATAGAGGAAGAGAGGCTCGTTACAAGCAATACATACCATACACGTAGGACATTGAGATTCTAAATATTACAACAAGTGGAAGGCCAGTTACTTATATTATGCTACACAAGAGTGGCATTTTTTCACCGGAGATCTGGAGATAGCAATGTTTCAAAAGACATTAAAATTATACATTTTTAATAAGAGTGTTCTTGGAATTATTTCACTATTGTTAATTGCAGCATTTTAGCTTTGTTGTATCTTTGATGTAATTGGAGTATAAGCTCACAAATCAACTACTAGAATGAGGGCAAATAAAGCTTTACTGTGTTATAGTTTAGATTGTGCCTCAACGTCTCTTCAATCTTTGAAACTTTCAATTCTTTGTAACTCAAAGAGTCCAAATCAGAGGGTAAATACTCTGCTTCAATTTCAAATCCTTCTCCTTAATGTACTTAATATGAAACGAATGGCTGACTCTCTCACTGCTGCTGGAACACTTGTCATTGATGATGAACTATATTAATGTACATCAATGGTGGTCTGGGCATTAAAAATATGTGACTGTGGTAGCTAATCTCACATCTAGATGCGATTCTGTTACACAACAAGAGACTCAGTTCATGTTACAGACTCAACAGTTGCACGTTGAAAAGTATAATGCTTAATTAATGTCAGCTTATGGTAATTTCTCTGCCGATTTTGCTACTAAAACCTGGTTTTAGTTTGGGAGTCAGTTTTAAAATTCAGTAAGAGCTTCATTTCCAGCTCAATTTTGTGGTCGTGTCAGAGTTTCTGATAGAGGTACTGGCTGGCAGGGGAAAATCAATAAGTTATTTAAGCAGTAAAGTTGGAAAATCTGGTTGCTGACAAGGACTTGGTGAAGATATCTGCAATTTGTTCTATTCTAGTTCAAAAAGAAGCTAAATTGAAGCTCATGATAAAAGCAAAAGATGAGGTATATTTGCTTAACTTGACTAGTGGGGTTGTAATATGGGCAAGAAAGGAATCATAATCACTCACTTGTAACTTTCAGTTAAGTGTTTAACAAGCTTTCATCACAAATTGTTGGATTAGCATTTTTTAAATAGGCGACAAAGCACATTATAAAGCAAAAGATCAGGTATATGTGCTTAGCTTGATAAGTGGGATTGTAACATGCAGAGGAAACGAATCACATTATCAAGGCCATGTATGTAATATACAAATGCTAAGGGAAGTGGAAGAGAAAACACATTATCAAAAAACAAAAAGATGGCAGAGATTCACCATAAGTAACTCATCCATGCGGCTGAGCTGTGCATAAATTAGTAAGTAGTTACTCAACATTATATTTGTCAGCTATTAATTTTTTTTTTTTTTGTTTTTGTTTTTTTTTTTTTTTTTGTTTTAGAATGTTGGGATTTTAGTTAAAACGAAACTATTTGGGTGTCCTAATCTCCTATGCCACAGCATAACATCAGTTCTTTGAGCAGGAAATGATTGTATATCATGCATTTTATTTATATCAGAAGCAACACAGAAAGAAGATACATTTTCAGAGTTATATTCTGTAACAGTCTTGACAGAATTAGGTGCTGTAACAGAAAACTTATTACAATGTAGACATGGTTGGCCAGCAGATAAGGCACAACCTAATAGACACTTAGAGTTATTTATAGATACTAAAGGCAAATTACAAGTGCTGAAAGAAGGCACTGAATTATTATCATGAAGCTGATGATTGACTGAAGCTGCCAAGTCTTCAGTAGAGTTTAAAGAAGCAGAGATTGAAGGCTGAAGTCGGTATAAACCATCCTTAAGCATTCCTTGAAGAAGAATTGTTTTGGAAGATTTGTCCTTAACCACACAATAACCAGAGTAAAATTCAACAAACACTTCATTATCTTTAGTGAATTTAGATATGCTAAGCAGGTTCTTTGTAATTGTAGGGACATAAAGAACATTCCTAAGATGCAATTTTCTACCAGGACAAGATAACCAAGAAAAACCAATATGAGAGATTGAGAGGAACTCACCATTTCCCACTTGGAGCTGTTCACTGCCAGTGTAGCTAGTGCTTGTTGTTAATTGTCCAAAATCAAAAGTGACATGGTCTGTTGCTCCAGAGTCCATGCACCATGCTACATCTTAAATAGCTGAAGGTGTAGCAATATAATTGATTGCTGCAGGGATGTGGTTCTGATTTTGAGTTTGGGATTGAGCCATGAACACTTGACTATTTGTATTTGCAAGTCCAGATATAGAGGACTGATGTGTTGGTGAAGCAAAACCAGAAGAAGACTGTGTGGAGAAATCCTTTGATGACTGCACTAGTGATCCTGAATTCATATACTAGCTCCACTGTAATGGTTAGCAGGTCCAAAATTAGAACCTTGTGATAGTCCTGAGTGTGGATAATAAGATGGTTTTCTACAAGTAAAATTAGAAGATCTTGTAAGTTCAGAAGGTCTTGCAAAATTAGGAGCAAAAACATGACTCACATTACTCCTGACCTGTGCATTGTTACCAGTAAAATGTACATTAAATCTGTGGTAACAATGCAGAGCTAGGTGTCCCATCTTCCTATAGACTTGACAAACAAATCTGTTCCTACCACCTACTCTGCCTCGACCTCTTCCTCTTCCTCCAGTAACATTTCCAGATTGATATGGATAAAATTGATTAGGAGGGGTTAAGTACACATGATAATTTTGATGTGCAGTCTGATTTGCAGTATAGTGGGATGGCACTAGGTTATGTGTCTACTGTAAAGGTATTGGATGTGTATGTGATGGAGATTGGGAACCTGTTCTCAGAGAAGTTTCATTTGCATCCAAATGTGATTTGTTTATATTCCTGTCAATACTTAGATTTGCAACATTAGCAGAGATCCCGTGAAATTCAGACTGTATAGCTGAGGTCAGTGCATTATTAGCCTTTTCTAACCTAAGCTCCAGTTTTTGCATAATTATTTGAGCTTCCTGAATTGAAATAGGATCTAATCTAGACTCTAATCTAGTAGTAATGTTTACTATAGCTGCATCATAATCAGAATCAAGTCCATCTAAGATGAAATTCAACAGTTTTTCATCAGAAATCATAATTCCACTTGAGGACAAACTTTCGGCAAATCCTTTCATTTTAAGGAAGTAATCATGCATACTTAGGTCATGTTTCTTTGTATTTTGCATTAAGTTCTTAATATGTAGTGTCTTAACTCATGACTCAGTAAGAAATTCTTTTTCTAAATTGAGCCAAATCTCAGTTGATAATTGACATTTAGAGATTACTGAAAAGATTGACTCTGAAATGGATGACAACAGCCAGCTGACAAGAAGCTTATCTGTCTTCTTCTAGAGGTGGTATTTCGGATTAGGTTTTTTTACAACTTTAGTGGTCCGGCCAGCTGATTGGATTTGAATGAACGTCACTGGGCAAGAAATCAGTCCAGTGAGGTGATCCTCAAGATCATGAGGTCCTACTGCAAACAGTATTTGTGACTTCCAGAACCTATGATTATCTCTAGTGAGTTTGGGATTGATTACAGGGAGAGTGTTTAAGGATATTGTGGTTGAGCAAGTGAGATTACTGATGTCAGAATTATGCTTCTGTCCTGATTGAACTAAATCTTTATCAGATTTGTGATGTGGAGAGGAATTTGTTGAGAAATCGGCCATTGTTGACGTTGGTCAAAGGCTCTGATACCAAGTTGGAAATGAGAATTGCGAGGGAAAAAAAAAAACTTGAGAGAGTAGAGTTGTTACTATTATCTTTTTATTAACTAAGTGAAAAGGTTACAAGCTCTGTTATATACAAGAGCACAATACAAGTGAGTTAACAAATTGCAACTTGCAACTTAGGCTAGGCTAAGGTTACTTATTAGTAACCTAAACATAATGAACCACTTGGTACACTAATCCTAACATAGAATTATTTTAGGATTATAAACAAAACGAAGTCCTTAATTAGCATCCAAGTGATGTGGATATGAGAGATTGTGTAGTATGTTATATGAATAAATATTTGTAATATAAGAGAAAATAATGCATGCATATAAGTTAGGAACTCAAGGAAATTTTAAGTAAATAAGCTCATACACAAAACTAGACTTAACTTTTGAAATCGGCACAGAAGATATAGGAAAAACCTGATATCAAGGTGATGAACAAGAATATATAGAAATTTGAAGAGTCAAAGATACCTACCATAAGTATTATTAACACATCCCAGTACAGAATTAGAGAGGAGGAACTTTACTTATAAATCTTTTTTTTTTAGGAATATGGGGTTGGAGATGAGTAGTACTGCTGCCAGTAAAGATGAGGACCAGAGCAAAGATTTGCTAATTGATATCACTGAAGAAAACTTATCAGATCCTGAGCCTGCTCTTGAGTGTTATATTTGCAGGGTTCCTAAAAGCATTCGCAGAAT